ATCACATTTATGCCGTGCCGACGTCGGCCGCCCGTTGCATTGCCGCGTTGGCTTGCACCATAGTCATAAGAAATATATAGTCTGGAAGCAAACAATAGCGCTTTGTTTATGTTTTTGTTCCAGAAATTAGCCGTTCTCATTCTTCCGAAGATGCACAGTAAACAAAAACATCTCATAGCGAAAGTATCGATCTCCTTATTTTCTTGATACTTTTACATCAAATTTAAACAACTGTAATTTATTTTAGTGAATTGTTTACAATTTGCTTTATTATTATTTGTTCTTTGCAAGCTTGGCATTGTTAAAAAAAAAAGGTTTATTTAAAATTTTGCAAAACTACATTGTCCCATGTCAATAAAACGTTGTCTAATATTACTAAAAAAGTTCAAAAGTCTATTAAATAATTTTTCTTCAGTATAAAACATGACTTTAAATAACTATGAAAACTAAAGACGAAATATATATATATATATATATATATATATATATATATATATATATATATATATATATATATATATATATATATATATATATATATATATATATATATATGTGTGTGTGTGTGTGTGTGTGTGTGTGTGTGTGTGTGTGTGTGTGTATATATATATATATATATATATATATATATATATATACATATATATATATATATATATATATATATATATATATCAATGGCATTTTGCACAGAAGTGATAAGTGCTAAACTAAAAATGTAAATGTGGCAAAAACACTTTGAACATTAATGCATAAAATTTTTTTCCGTTTTTGTACTTGACACGTAATGTCAATTAGTAGACTCGTAACAATTTATCATACACTGACTATATTCGGACAGAATAATCTTTGAAAAATACAACATTTTTTGTGTACTTAGCTCAATTTAACCAAATGTTGTACTTAACACTTCTGCACATAATGCCATCGATATATATCGATATATTTAGTTGTGTCAATGAATTTAAAATGTTAATAAAGTTTAAATGATTTTTGACCCTTTGATACATCTAGAATTAGAGAAATATGTGTTAACACAAGAGTTTCCAATAAAACATATCAATTAGGTTTTTGATTTTGTTAGACTTGACTACATAGAACAGCAAATAAAGAAATAAATTTCCTAGATACGATGTTAAACTACAAAAATATTAAGCAAAATATTAGTAATATTAATTTATTAATACTAATTTATTTGTCATTCTCAGAATTTTTTAAACAAACAAAAATAATTACAAAGATTTGAAAAAATGATTTTAAAAATATATTTTAGTAAAATATTTATAAAATATTTTTCTCACTCAAAGCATATCCAAAACGATTCTGATATCATAATCAGTAATTTCAGAATTTTGAAGCTAGTGAAAAAAATTTAACACTTAATATTCATAATAGTTAAATGTTTAAAAACATCAAACTTAATTATTTGCTTATACGCAACATAAAAAGTAAAGATAACTTGGAAAATTTACTCACCGTTATTAAAAATTGCACCGTTAATAAAAATTGTCATGAATAGTAAAATCCAATCATTGAAAAAATACTTTCTTTCCCAGAATGTCAAAGAACAAAATATTTCTACCAAATTTTAAGTTTTTGTGTCAAAGAACAAAAAATCAATCAACATTAGTATTGATTTTCGATCTATTGACACAACACAATAAACCATTTTACAAACATCTGGAAAAAAAGTGATAATAATTATATAACTTTTTATATTATATACATACATACATACATACATACATACATACATACATACATACATACATACATACATACATACATACATACATACATACATACATACATACATACATACATACATACATACATCAGCGTGGAAAATAACGGGCGGTCAACGGTCAATGACCGCCCGAAATGACTGAAATTGCTGTTTTGACCTCCCAAAAGGAATTCTAGCCGGTCAAGGTTGACCGGTTGAAAAATCTAAGTTAGTCAGAAAAATTAGAAAAATCTTTTGTTAAACCCAATTTTAAATTTTTTAGATTTCAAAACACCGTAAAACTTTGATAAAGCGTCTAAAACAATTTTATTGCTTATATGCTACTTTTTAAAGTTTTTAAAGTTTTTAAAGAAATAATTAATAAAATTGCTTTTATTCACTTCGTTGGAACAAGGACGTAAAATAATCTTATTTTACGTTCTTGGTTGGAACGAAGCGAATTAAAATTTGCAACGCTGCAACGTGAAATTCGTCATCGTTTATTAATACTCGCTAATGCTTCGACGAGTATTATATTTGGCGTAAATTATATATATAATTTTTTTTGCTTCAGTTATTGAGATCAAATTTATTTAGTGCTTTTTTCCGTAACTGATTTAAGTTCTTATTTTATTATTATTTTAATAATAATATAATACACAATAATTGATGATTTTAGCTAAGCACTAAATTTATTTTTGCTCTCTCTATATCTTTTTATTTATTTTTCTCATAATTTTTTGTTGCAAATGATTTTGTTTAACAAATGACTTTTTTTTTCTTCTTATTTTATTTACATGTCATGAAGAATAATTACTGAAATAAAAATTTTAACAAAGAAAAAAAAAAAAATTTGACCACCCAAAAAAAAAAATTTAACCGTCAGTTTTATGTATTAGCCGGTCAATTTGACCGTTCGCCTTTGATTTCTTATTTTCCACGCTGACATATATATATATATATATATATATATATATATATATATATATATATATATATATATATATATATATATATATACATATATATATATATATATATATATATATATATATATATATATATATATATACAGGGGTGGGACCGCAAAATGTGAACACTTTTCTGATTGTAATAATTAATTTTCTGTTAAATATGAACTATTTTAAATGTTCAATTTTTGTTTTTTTACATGTTATATTTTACTTTGTTTACATATTCATTAGTACTTTGTCTTTCGTTTTTTATCAAATAAACTCAACTACATCTAACGAGAAAATAGTTATAATAAAACAAAAACGTTCACATTTTGCGGTCCCACCCCTGTATATATATATATATATATATATATATATATATATATATATATATATATATATATATATATATATATATATATATATATATATATATATATATATATGTCAACGTGGAAAATAAGAAATCAAAGGCGAACGTCAAGGTTCGTGTTTCGGAGTTATAGAGTTGAGAGAGGGTTATAACCACAAATAAGTAGCCTCCTCGTCTGTAGTGGCCTTCTCGGCCTTGAGGAGGTGAATTAAAAAAAAAAAAAAATACTTATAACATTAGTATAATAATCTATTACAAGCCTAAGATTTTAATTAGAGTATTTTTCTATCAAAAAGTCAAAAAGACGGGTTTTAAATTGTGAAAAAGAGTTGAGGGATTGAAAATCAAAAGGTAAATTATTCCAAGATTTTACGCATTGGTTTGTAATAGAATTATCACCGTATTTTACCGAACAGCGATTTGGGATAGATAATTTAAAGTTACTCAAAGATCGAAGGTAATAAAAGGAACTTTTTTTAGTGGTGAAAAAGTTGGAGAACGACGGAGGGAGGTTTACTTGTTTATGATTCCAGACAAATAGACAATTTAATAAATAAACAAGATCACATAATTTGAGTATTTTTGATAGAAAGTAAAGGATGTCAGAGTTAGAATGATACTGTTGAAAGAATATTATTTTTAAAGCTTTTTTTTGTAGGTTACATAACCTTAAAAAACCATTAGACTTGCATTGTCCCCAAACCTGACAAGCGTATCTAAGATGAGATCCAAAAATTGCATGATATATATTAAGTAGAGTTTCATAATTCACATAGTGGCGAATTTTAGCTAGCATCCTATTTGATCTACACAATTTTAATCCTAAGTTTTTAAGATGAAAGGAAAAAGATAGATCTGAGTCAATTTGGATTCCAAGATATTTTAATGAAACTACGGGAAAGATTTTTTGTCCACTTAGTCTAAAGTTTAGGTTTTTATACATTTTAGATTGATTTGATTTGAAAATAATAAATTCAGTTTTGTTGGTATTAAGACTTAGTTTGTTAGAGTGTAGCCATTGAAGAAGGTTAGATAAATCATGATTAATATGTTTGTTAATTTTTTTTAATGATTTGTTTGTTATGAGTAAGTTGGTGTCGTCAGCAAAATGGTAAGCCGTTGAAAATTTTAGAGAGATATTAAGATCATTTATAAAAATAAGGAAAAGCAATGGTCCTAATACAAAACCTTGTGGTACACCCGTGGAGTTGTTAAATGACTAACGTCGTGATTTAGTAACAACTGGCGGTTTTATAAAAAAACAAAAGGTAAATTTAAGATACTCAAATGTTTTAGCGACGTTTCTTGTTGTGAGTAAAGTTAAAATAAGTTGTAAAACATCAAAACAGCATCGCACTAACTAATTTTTCTTTTTTGTGATATTTCGGTCTAATTTGTATAAACCATCATCAGACGTAAATTACAATTTAAAAAACCGTTACAATATAAAATTTAAAAATCATAAAGAAGCCATTAAGACACACAAAAACAAACAATGTGACGTCATATCGACCATATTTACGGTGGCATTTTATGTTATAAGATTTTCTGTTATAAGATAATCTTGACGGGTTTTAAATATATTTTTAATCTATACATATTATATCTATATTTTATTAACATGTTAAATATGTCACAATATGAAAATCTTTAAAAAATATAAACTCTGGCATATTGTTTTGTGAAATTGTAATAAAATAATATTCTTTACTCTCAGAACTTATGGGATATGACATGTTTGCATAATCATTATGCAATAACTTGCCAATTTCAATAATGTTGTAGTAGGTTATGCATTAGTTTGAATCGGATTTTAAATTATATAGTTAAATGGGGCCTGCATTAATGCAAAATTGATAGAAACCTATATAAATAATGGACATATATGATAATTTTTTTTTTTTTTAAAGTATATATTCTCTTTGTCATTTTGCGAAATATAATTTTTTTATATGCATACACACCACTTTATTAGATAGTGTAATGGATTTTAAATAAAAAATAATGACGGGAGAGGCAACCATAGTGGTTGGAGATGATCAAAGAACAGACACTTATGCAGATATTTATGAAAAAGCTAAAGGACTTTCAAGAGTATGTGAAAAATGATTTTCCAATCTATTTTTTACAAGTTATTTAATGTTAATTATATCTATATTATTATGGTAAAAACATTAAATCAGTTATCAAATAAAGGCTTAGATAAAATTTTCAAGTAAATATATACATATCTTTAATAAATGTATAAATATCTTTTAAAATATTGCCATAGTGTAAAAATTATGCTAAAAGTAATCATGTTTACTTTTTTTTGTATATATTATAGCTTAGTTACAGTTTCTTTAATTTTTTTTTTTTTACTTTTTTTGATTTAGAATAATAATATAGGAAATAATATAGAAAATTAGAATAATAAAGGAAATCAGTTTAATAAAAAATTAAGATAAAGTTTTTGATAAAATAAGAGACTAATTTAATAATTTAGGATAAAACCTTTCATATTGCAAGTTGTTAAAAGTAAGATATATATATATATATATATATATATATATATATATATATATATATATATATATATATATATCTTACTTTTAACAACTTGCAATATGAAAGGTTTTATCCTAAATTATTAAATTATTAATATATATATATATATATATATATATATATATATATATATATATATATATATATATATATATATATATATATATATATATATATATATATATATATATATATATATATATATATATATATATATATATATATATATATATACAATAATTTACACAAACTTACAGAACACTAAAACAACACTTATTTAAATCTAACTTAAACAACCCTCACATAACTCTAACTTAATCACTGAATTATACTCCCCTCTTAAACACCACCTATCAATACTGGACACCTACCCAAAGATTATAATCTATCTAGCACTCCCTTTCATGTATATAATAGATCTCTCCCTTCTCTTAAGACTATCACGGCCTCATTGTTCCCTATAAGTGGTGGAACTTAATTAGCTTCCACTGCAAAACAGTAGTATACTTTTTCTGTAAATAACGTACTTTCCTTATTATATTATATGTTTATTGTTGCTTTTTTCTATAATACTGCTTTTGTTGTGCCCTATGTATAATAAAATTGGTAGCTTTATAACATGTTATTTGTTTATTACATTATCCTTATCACAACAATGGGAATCATAATTATTTGGGTTTTTAACATTAAAAATCAAACATAAAAACAAATATTTTCATTAAACTTAAGTAAATTGAATAGATAATAACTAATATTTCTATTAAAGCACAAAAATTAAATTTAATTATGTATTTATTAAATTTAACATGAACTGCTGCTCCACAGGATGTAAACATAATTTAAATTTAAATATAAGCTAAAACAAATAATTTCAATAAACCGTAAACATTTAAAATGAATGTAATCAAACAACACAAGTGCCATCACTAGACCATACAACTAGAATAAAAGAGACTTAATATAAAACAAATATTGATAATATATAATAAAAGTATTAATTTAAACAAAATAATAAAAGAATACTTACAAATTGTAGATTACAATTAAACGCATATTTTAATTTGCATATAAACTGAATATCAAATTAGTATCTTAAATAGAACATATGAATTGAACTAAGAAGGAACTAAGTTTGAAACAAATTATTTTACTAATAATCGTATAAATTAAACTAAATTAAAAATTGCATCATATATTTGTATAAATTAAACTAAGTTTAAAATTACAAAATATATCTGTATTAAAATACACAGAAGTTAGTCTTAAAAGTTAATATAAAACGAAAAACCGCATTAAAACAGATTGGCTAAATAAAAGTAAATATAGTGCAAAACAACTCTACCTAACCATGTCAATATTACCATTTTGAATCATATCATGAACCGCTCAGATCACAAAATCCATACGCGTATATAATGTATGTTTAATATGGCTATAGTTCAAAAATCAAAGTATTTACAAACATACAAATTCAAGACATATTCCTAATACAAATAAAGACATTAAATGGATTATAAAACTCAAGCATTTAGAACACTACAAAGACAAAACACAAAAAGTTTACAAAAACTTACAGAAGATTGAAACAATATTTACTTAAATCTAACTTAAACAACACTCACTGAACTCTAACTTAACCACTGATCAAACTCCCCTCTTAAACACCACTTCTCAATACTGGACACCTGTCCAAATATTATAGTTTATCTAGCACTTATATAATAAATTTCTTCCTTCTTCTTTCTTCCTTCTCTTAAGACTATTATGGCCTGATGGTTCCATATAAATGGTGGAACTTTAATGGCTTCCACTGCTAGTTATTAGCAGAAGAGGGAAGGATTTTGATCAAAAAGAACATATAACATCGAAGCTAAAATAGAATTGATAACCAAAGTAATTACATCCAAAAAAAGACCCTAAATAACGTATTATACTCCAACATTTTAACACTGCAAACGCAATACACAAAACACAATAACTAACACAACACACGGAACGCTATAACAACACTTACTCAACTTACTCAACGGGAACTTAAAACACACTGACATAACTTTAACTCAATCACTGAAGAATACTCCCCACTGGTCTTCTCCATAAGCTTTCTTCTTACGGTGTATCTGGTAACATCTTTAAGATTATTAAATCCTTCCTTTCTAATCATAGTATAAGGACTGCTCTTGATAGACAGCACAAATATATATATATATATATATATATATATATATATATATATATATATATATATATATATATATATATATATATATATATATATATATATATATATATATATATATATATATATATATATACAACTCTTAGAATTAGGGTTGGCATTGGGCAATGCCTACCTACTGCTGACGTGAAAGTGTTTGCAGTCAGCAAAACATTGCCAACCTTGTTTCTATATTTTATGGTCAGACCTTTGCATTAAAATTTTTTTGCCGACCTGATACTGACCAAAAAGATTGAAGTCGGCAAATTATTGCCAACCTCATTTTTCCTAATTCTGTGGGTTAATAAATATATATATATATTATATATATATATATATATATATATATATATATATATATATATATATATATATATATATATATATATATATATATATATATATATATATATATATTAGAGTTGGTACTGATTAATTTTTTGTTTGTTTGATTAATCGTCTAAAATTTAAATCGATTAATCGATTAATTTCGATTAATTCTGAAGTCGACAGAATAACCTGCTTTTAACCACTGGTGAGGTGAAGTTGTTATCGGTAAATGTTAACTAACTACAGTATTCACAAACGTTAACAAACAAGACACTTAATGCCTGCTATACTATTATCAGTTTAATTGACAAGTACAAGTAGGCATCACTTTAGCCAGTCACGTAAACAAACGAGGGCGTTAACGTTTTCTAGAAGTAGACAAGATGGCAGTTTGTTGACAATGTACCCTGACGAACTAAACAGTCTTTCACAAGGAACAGAAGTGGCAGGTACACACAGAATTGTCTGCACAAAACTGCTCAGGTTAGGGTAACGACAGGCCTTGTTAAGAAGAGTTACGCAGCTCGCATTTTGCCTGCGAAAAGGCGATTTGCCTACGCGTTCAGCAGTTATGCGTTACGCAAAAACTTTTATCTTTTAGAATATTTAAATTATCTTTTTATATGTGACGTTTTTTCAGAAGAAAATAAAGTCGTAAGTAAAAGCATTTAACTGCAATTGTAAACTAATAGATTTTTTGTTAAAGAAAAATTTGTTTAATTATTTTTATTGTTGTTGTTGTTAAAAATTAGTTAAAAAAAAAATAAGTATTTTAAGTTTAAACTTTTTATCATATTTAATATTAAGTTTTATATTTCATAAGTTTAAAAACAATCAAATTTAAAAAAAGAAATATTTTCAATTTATTTTATTAAATTTAAATATTTTTTTATTAATTATAGTTTTTAGTAAAAAAATTATTAAATTTAATTAAAATTCTTTCATTTAATTTTAAAACAGAGCATTTTAAAATTTTTTAATTTTAAAATGCTCCGTTTTTTTTTATAAAATTTCCAAAGTAAAAAAAGATTTAATAAATTTAATTTAAGTTACTTTAAAATGTTTGTATTACATATAACTTTGTTTTAATTTTAGTTAAGTTTCAGGTAAGTTCCAAATACTGGTCTGAATAATGCGCTTAACAAAAGCGCATTATTTTCCAGTTTTTATTTTTCCATTATTTTACAGTTTCATTCATTATTTACAGAAGCGTATTATTCATTTTATAACTACAAGTTAATAAATGACGTCAATATTTTTAAACTCGAGTTATAAATGTTATGTTTGGGTTTTCCCTTTGCCGTTTGCCGAAGAATTTTTTTTATAAAACAAACCAAGGACGTATTAATAATATGTCCTTGAACAAACCAAAATTTAAGCCTATTAAAAATAACGCGATCAGTAAATAAACTCTTTAAAAGCCCAACTTATCGTTATTTTATTTTAAAAACAAAACTAGTACTTGAGCTATAAATATAAGATACATAAATTTCAAAATTATAATGATATTTGTTAAAAACAAATTCTGCTTATAACATCTTAAAACCCAAAACACTATTTTTTTTTTGGATTGAGTAAAAAAATATTAGGTTTCACTGTACATGAAAATAAAATATTTTAATGGAAATAAAAAAAAACAAAGCTGAAAAAGCAGTAAATTTCGTTTTTTACAACATTTATTTTTTCAAAACCAGTTAGTGCAAACGTTTTTTTTAAAAGGGGAAAAACCCAATCTATGCGATTAGTTATAAGTACATTTAAATCCCTTTAAGAAAATCAACCATAAACAAGTGTTAAATTCAAGTTATTTAAAAAAAAATATTAAAAAAAAAACAACCATAAAACGAATGTTTAAAAGCAAAAATATTAAGTTTAAATAAGTGTAAGACTTTAATACAAGAAGACTTTTTTTTAATCAACATTGAATTTTTTTTTTTTTTTATAACAACATTGTTCAATTTAAAGCTATTTCGTTTCAAAGACTAACAATAGTTTTTAA